GGAGGGGCAGATAGTTCGGAGAGGAAACAGAGTTGGGAAATGGCCCTTTGAGAATACGGCTCTGGTGGGTCCATAGCTGTCATGTGTCCAGTGCTCTGTCCTGTAGCCTGTTCTTTCCGGGCATCTACCTGTGACAGTTCTCACCAGTGGAGAGGCCACGATGCTCAGCTCCCTGGACAGAGGCCAACATTTGTGAGCCAGCCCATCAGAACCCAAACGCACCAAGATTCCCTTCTCCTTCCTTCGCTCCTTCACTCGTACAAGGGAAGAGAAAAAGAAACAAATATTTAATGCCTATATGCAGTTTGTAATATATATTACTTCATCTATCTCTTAAACCATCCCCACCAGGTAGAGATTCATAATTCCATTTACATGGAGAGGCTAACTTGCTAAGTCAGGGAAGCAGCTGGGATTGGAACTGGGTTTGTTTGACCCCCATAGACCATGCTCATCTTTTTTTTTTTTTTATCCTCATTCGAGGATATTTTTCCATTTTTTGTACAGATAGAGTGGGAGGGAGAGAGAGGAAGAGAGAGAGAGAGAGAGGAACATCGACGTGAAGGGACACATCGAGTGGCTGCCACCCGCACGACCAACCAGGGCCGGGGACAAACTGCAACCGAGGTACATGCCCTTAGCAGGAACCGAACCTGGGTCTCTCAGGACCGCAGGCCGACGCTCTAACCGCTGAGCCAAACTGGCCAGGGCTTTTTTTTTTTTTTTTTTAATAATTTTTCTTTATTGATTTTAGAGAGAGAGGAAGGGAGAGGAAGAGAGAGGTAGAAACATCGATGATAGATAACATCGGTTGGTCACCTCCTGCATGTCCCCCACTGGGGATTTGACCCACAACCTGGGCAAGGGCCCTGACTGGGAATCGAACTAGCGACCTCTTTGTGCATGGGCCAGTGCTCAACCACTGAGCCACACTGGCCAGGCGCTCATCATTAAATACAGCTTAAGTCAAGACCCCGGAGCGTAGACCTGGCAGGTAGAGGATGAGGTGCAGGGGAGGGAGGCAGCTTTTCTCCCAGAGGCAGTTCTGACCTCTCTGCGTCATTGTGGCCTGGCCTCCCCCTCTGCCCGTGCTTTTCTGCTGGGAGAGGCCTCTAGGCAGCCAAGTGTTGAAACGCACAGGGAGGGCAGCCTGCCTCCTTATGCTTGTTTAGCACTTGGCTGGCACTCTTAATCTTGTTGAACAGCTGACAAGTTGTTAGATCATAAGAGAGTAAAGACTTCTCAGTATCTCGGCTTGCTTCTCCACAAAATGCACAGCACAGTCTTCTCTCTCTGTGTGGACTCTGAGAACTCGCTACTCTCTGTATTAAGTTCATTAGAGCATTTCTTCAAAGTGAACAGACGCATTGCGACCTTCTCTTGGACACGTTGGCCCGCTTCAAACACTAGTTCTTATGGGGGGCTCCCACCTCCTGAAGCTCAGCAGGCCACCAAGTCTCATTTCCAGTGAGTGTCATTTAAAAGCCAAAGCCAGCTGACTACAGACTTTTTAACATGTGCCTCTCATCTGCTCAGCAGAAATCCCTGTGACTTGTTAATAGTTCCCTTCTTATTTTTTTGTAGTGAAACCAATTGAGGCCTTAAATCAGTACCATTCATTCCATCCTGGGCCATCCGAGAAAACCATTAGAGCTGTAAAAAGTCATCTGCTGCATGCTGCATTTCCTGCTGCAGGGCCAGCGCCGACAGCGGACCTGAGCAGGACAGTGCAGTGTGCCGGACAGGGCTCCGGAGGGACCACATAAACACCAGGCCTGGGGGAGCAAGGATGGGCCTTCAAAGAGGGGAGACCAGATACATAGCCTATAAAACACAACTCTCTTTACAGCTGGAGTCAAGTTTCTCCATTGGTGCCGTAACATACATTTCACGGAAGCTCATGGCATGTAGGGTGAAAGACAAGGGGAAACGTATAGAAAGCCTCTGAGAGAAACCACAGGCTTACAGAGAATTCCTGAGCTTCCTGGAAGGCCCTGCAGGCAGGCCATTCAGAGGTACAGAAACAAGACACATGAAAGGTTCTTTCTCATCCTTCCCAGTCTTCCCCTTCCAGAGCACCTTCATTATATTAAAAGGATTTTATAGAAAATACTTGCCATTGGCCAGTCACACTTTATTTTTATTTATTTTTTGTTAATCCTTACCCGAGGATATTTTTTCCATTGATTGTTTTAGAGAGAGTGGAGAGGACGGAGTGGGGGAAGGAGAGAGAAACATTGATGTGAGAGAGGGACACTGATTGCTTGCCTCTTGCATGCATCTGGACTGGGGCTGGGGAACCAATCTGCAACCCAGGCATGTGCCTTTGACCAGCAATCAAACCCTTTGGCACACAGGACAACACTGTAACCACTGAGCAACACCGGCCAGGGAGGCCATTCACACTTTAGCATCAATTGAATCCTCATATACAAATATAATTCTGAGAAAAACAGACCCCGAAGTCTATCAGGTCAAGCCCCTCAGTTCACAGATGAGAGGAACTAGGAAGAAGCCCACCTTGCCTGGGGTCAGGAGCTGGATGGACGCCAGTGGACCCGGAGTCAGGCTTAGTGCTCTTTCTACTAAGGTTAGCCGCTGGCTTACATTATCCAGAAGTATTTACAATGTTGGCCTTATCTTAATTTATGGAATACAAGTCTTTTTACCTCTCTTAAAGGAATTTAAGGCATAAACAAGAACCAAGGAAGGATAATGTCCTGAAATGACTCTAATATCAGCAGCTATGTATAACTAAATCCAATTCTATTTTGAAAGTTCATTGGGGAATTCTTTTGACCAAGGAAGAGATATTAGCTGGGCTCTGTAAAAATTTAACACTGAAAAAACTATTAAGAGCTAAATTTGCATTTCTGCACCCAATACTACCACCATATCTGTATCTGTAGGCTGATGCCTCCTTTTCCTGCTAAAAATGAACTTTGGCTTCTCTTTGAGGTATCCGCCTCTCTATTTGCACACCTGGCCCCTCCTCCCTGCACACTGTGAGTGGTTTCTTTGCATCTCAATATCTGGGATCTTGCCGGTTTTCTTCACATTTCCCTCACTGATAAAAACCTTATTCCTGTTTTTTTTTTCCCACTTAAAATCTCCTTTACCCCTTTATAGCAGCTCAGGTTCTAAGAGCACCTACATGAGTTGTGGATGACCTAAAGGGTACCACACTCCTTGAGGAATCATGGCTCTCAATAGTTCGGGGCAACTCCCAGCCTCGCCCCGAAGAGGAGCTCCACTGTGGGAGATTCCCTGTGGGAGACAAGCAGCCACTCACTCTGGATGACTGAGATGAAAGGTCCAGCAGCCCCAGCACTCACCAGTGTCTCGAACTTCCAATGGGGAGACAGGAAGTGGATGCTATGCTGTTGCTTCCTGGCCTGGGAGAGGGGAGGCACGAAAGGTCATTGTTGGCCTTAAACTATCTGAAGGCCAACGCAGGTGGTGTTGAACTGGCCCTTCATCTGCTGGTGCACCTGCCACCTTTTCTGTTCTAATGTCCACATGTCATAAGAGCGACCCTGTCAGATACAGATTCAGGGACATTATGAGTTGAAAGGGACCTACAGGTCCTCTCCCCCAAAATGTACCCCCTAGACCAGCAGTGTCAGTATCACCTGAGAACTTACCGGGAAGGCAGATCCTCAGGCCCTGCCCCAGACGTAGAGAATCAGGAGGAACTCTGGGAGTGGGGTCAGTGGTCTGTTGAACCCGCCCCGCCCCCCCCCACCCCGTGATCCTCAAGCACACTGAAATTTAGGAATCACTGCTTGGTTACTTTGTCTTTTTTTAAATCAGAGGTGATATTTTTAGATCTTTATTAAGCTCATCAGAAAAGTATCTATTATTCATTATTCATATGTACATTTCTGGCCTTTTAGTTCTTGCTCGGGTACTTTGAAATAAGGAATTTGGTTTGTATCATTGGTTCTCAAGTGGAGCTGCACATTAGAATTATTTGGGGAGCTTTAAGACAGTACGGGTATGGAGGTACCATGCTTAGAAATTCTCGTTTAGTTGGACTGAGGTGGGATCTGGAGTGGCAGCAGTTTTTAAAGCTTGCAGCTTCTCCTGGCTTGAGAACCACTGATCTATCTAACTCATCTTCTAGATAGAGAATTGAAACCCAGAGGCAAAAGTGGTGTGTCTACGGTCAGATTAGGGGGTTAGTGTAGCCACGCTGTGAGTAGACGCAGATCTCTGGACTCTATTGCCCTTTGGCTCTTGTCCTCAGAAATATCCCAAACCAAAAGACCACATTTACAGTATGTGTTCCGGTCTCGGAGACCGGGCAGGCTTCTACAAATGGAGATCAGCAGGGCTTCTGCACTGTAATGATTTCATTTGGGGTTAGCTTTGCTTTGTGCTCAACCTAGCTCTTGTAATTGTGCTCATGTCTTTCCTAGGACCGAACTTCAATCCCATACCCCAGTTCCCACTTCCTGGCCCCTCTGCTCAGCCTCCCGGGCCTCAACCTTGACTCGGCCACCCTGCCCCAAGTACTCTAGTTCTTTTGAGAATGAGGTCCTGAGATTTGGTGTCCTGGATTTTTAGCTCGAAGATTAAATATGGTGAAGCAAGCAACAGTACCAGGTTAAAATACATATTTAATGATTTCCATTGAGAATGGGAACAGCTGAGCTGGCTCATTACCAGAGGTCTTACTGGAAAACAAAGTGGAGGCAAGAAATGGCAAAGTGAATATTAGAAGGTTTATTATTATTTTTCTAAAAAACAGGACTTACTAAGACTTATTTCAGAGAAACAAAAGAGGTTAGTGTTCTTTTTTGTCATCCACTTTGTCCTCTCTTTTGGAGCGTGTGTGGAATCACTGTAAGTTTGCTGAGTTAAGAGAAAGCAGTAGTTCTGTAAAAATCCGCCCATCTTGGACATTTGAGCGTCCCTCCCGCATGGCGTGCGTCTGGCCTAGACAGACTCACCTTAGCAGGCCTCTATCTCAACGGAATTCCTGTTTTATTTTTCAGGGGGCAGCACAGGCACTTCCCCGACCACCTCCAGCACTGGCACACCATCCCCTTCAGCTTCTTCTCATCTTCTATCACCATCCTGTTCTCCTCCAACTTTCCATCTGGCCCCCAACACCTTCAACGTGGGCTGTCGAGAGAGCCAGCTGTGTAACCTGAACCTCTCTGATTACCCACCCTGTGCCCGAAGCAACATGGCTGCCTTGCAGAGCTACCCAGGGCTGAGTGACAGTGGCTACAACAGGCTCCAGAGTGGCGCTGCCGCCGCCACTCAGCCCTCTGAAACCTTCATGCCTCAGAGGACTCCATCCCTGATCTCAGGAATACCAACTCCTCCCTCGTTGCCTAGCAACAGCAAGATGGAAGCCTACGGCGGCCAGCTGGGGTCCTTCCCCACTTCCCAGTTTCAGTATGTCATGCAGGCAGGCAATGCGGCCTCCACGTCGTCATCGCCACACATGTTCGGGGGCAGCCACATGCAGCAGAGCTCCTACAATGCCTTCTCTCTCCACAACCCTTACAACCTGTACGGATACAACTTCCCCACTTCCCCCAGGCTAGCTGCAAGCCCAGAGAAACTGAGCGCCTCTCAAAGCACTTTACTCTGTTCTTCGCCTTCCAATGGGGCCTTCGGAGAGAGGCAGTACCTGCCCACGGGGATGGAGCACAGCATGCACATGATTAGCCCTTCAGCCAATAACCAGCAGGCGACTAACACCTGTGATGGCCGGCAGTATGGGGCGGTCCCAGGCTCCTCCTCCCAGATGTCGGTGCACATGGTTTAATGGCCAGCCCAGACACCACGGAGCCACAGCAGCCAAGGCCCCAAGTCTCCATGTGCACATCCTCCTGTTTGGGAGCCCAAGGCCTTTGAAACACAGGAACTGCGATTTTTTTTTTTTGGTTTTGGTTTTTTTCTGGAGGAGGAAAGCATATACCCAAGAACAACAAGAGACTTTTAAGCCACTGAAGTATACTTGCGGTGGAATGATCTCCGATTCAGTGGCCAATCTCCTGCCTTCCCAAAGCTTAGTTTTATAAAGCAACGTCTACTCCAGAGTGGTCTTTGAAGAAACTGAATAATCATTTTATAATAATGTTAAAGGAGATGCCAGCATTTAGCAGCCATGAAGTTAGCCACACACACATACAGACCTACCCATACATACATACACACATATGTTCACACACAAACTCATACACACACATACATGCACACTGACTCAGAACTGGGCGAACTCTGTGGAGGGAGGCCCGGAATGGCTACTTTCACCGAGAATTTGTCTGTGCTCAACACTAACGGACCCGGCCAGCAGTGGCTGCCCGCCTTTCTCCCCTGCAGCGTACCCTGTTTCTGGAACGAACCCTGTATCCTGGAACCCCTTCCCATCGATGAGGGTGGAAAGACATCAGTACTACAACTGGACTTGGCTTCTTGAAGAAAATTGCTTTTAAACTTTGGTTGTCTTCACTCAGTATGCTATCATTGACGTTCCCAGCCGTGCCCGCGAATAGATGGAGAGAGAGAGAGAGAGAGAAGAACAGAGGGCAAGAGAGAGGCAGAGAGCAAGACTGACAGAGGAAGTGTGAGCAGTGATGAGAGTTTTAATTTACCAAGGAAATTGGTTTTGGGTTGTTTCTCCCCGTCCCCCCTACACCCTACATGTTATAGAAAGAATCATGACGTTATTGAGGAGTAAATGTCTCTGGGACACTGTGCATGGTCAAGGGCAATGGTGAGAGGGGCCAGGCAAGGAACGCGTCCTGATCCCAGCTCTGACCACTGTGATCCAGAAGAGGGCGCGCCACACGGGAAGTGCTGATTCCAGAACACGCAGCCTGGCAGGGGAAGGGACGTAGGGGGCATGTGACGACCAAAGAGTGCTGTAACCCCCGGCAGATGAAACCAAGTGCGGAGGTGACAGACAGGCCTGGCCTTTGCGTGCCGGGTCCAGACACCTGGCCTGCATCAGCGGCCCCGTAGTCCCTGTGACAGGAGAAATCCTGCCATGTCCCAGGGAATTGCAGATGGGCCTTCTACATCCTTCCACCTGCCCTTGGATCTCCATTTTTATCCAATAGTTCATTGCATTTTGATGTTTTGGGTTTTTGCCTTCATCTTTCCCTTCCCCTTCAAATCCTTTAATGATAAGAGAAACAAGTGGAGTTTGGTGCAAGCTAAACTTTTTAAATGGTGTGGAAATGCAAATGATACCAAGTAAAATAATACAGATATTATTAAGATTTTTGGTTTTGAGGTGTTGTAGATAAGTGTATTTATGTGCCTAGTGGGGAATTCAATATTATGAATATTAAAAAAAGGGGGCAATAAAAAGGGTATGTAAAATATGTATGAAGAGAAGGTGTATAAAAATTTGCCCTTATGCACGGAACTCTGTTTCTAAGTGCCAAGCACAGAAAGCCGCTAAATAAAATCTTTGCCATTGTTTTCTGCGTGTTTGTTTTGTGGGAAGACAGTAGCAGCAGCCTGTGCACTGGCTCTGCGCTCTCGCTCACGATGTCACATGAGCTCTATTCAGACCCCCAGGAAGGAAACATTACCCTCTCATTTTACGATTAGGATCTGGGCTCCAAAAAGACTGAGCAAACTATCCAGAATCAGACAGCCTCTCAGAGAGAGAAGTAGAACTTGAAACCAGGTCTGGTTCCAGGGGGACGTTCACTGCCAGACCAGCCCTAGGAGCCTGCGGGCATCTCCCAGCCCCGCATCGTAGCCGCGGGCGGGCATCACGGAAGTATCTCGTGGACTCTTCCCACAGTGCTGCGAGATAGGTGTCATTGTCATCATCATTTTATAGGTCTGGAAATAAGCTGTAAAGAGGTCAAGTACTTGGGCCAGTCGATGTGGCTCAGTGGATTGAGCCAGGGCCCATGGACTGCGAGGTCCCTGGTTGGAGTCCTGGTCAGGCACATGCCCAGGTTGTGGGCACCCACCCAGTAGGGTTTGCAGCCCATGGAGGTTTCACTCATCAGCGATGTTTCTATCTCTCCTTCCCTTCTTCTCTCTGAAATCAATAAAAAACATAATAAATAAAAAAATAGGTTAAGTACCTGTCCCAGGCCCTCAGGTGGCTAGTGGCTGAGCTGGCAATGTGTCCACAAGGTCTGCAATGAACACAGTCATCCCTCAGCGGCCCCATGAGGAACAATCAGGAAGGAAGGTACATCCTGAGGGTCTGAGCGAAGACTGCCTCTGTGGCTGGATTTACGTGGTAAATCTGTACCCTCTCCTTTGAATGTACCACCAGGGCACGGGAGGAGAGAGTTTGAGTTATCATGCACCTAATCGTGACTTCTGGGAGACCAATAATGCGCCTGGGGCTCTTCCACATATAAGTACTTTCCCATATTATCTCATTTGAACCCTGTGATAACCATGAGGTGTGGACAGGGCAGGAAGCATCGTTTTGTACATGGAAGACTAGGGTTATAAAGTTGTGACTTGCCTGTATTTAAATGGGGATGGGACACCACAGAGCCAGGACTGGAAATCTCCTGTTCTTACCCCAGTGTCGACTGTTTCTTGGTGGACAGTTACACTGGGGACACACTGACCCATGTCACCAGGGCTTGATTTGGGGGGTTTGGGTTGCTGACCACCACACCCATTCATTGGAAATGGAGCTTGGTTTGGGGGAGCAAAAAAAAAACAAAAAACCTTAATTAATCATTGCTTTGGCTTTATAAATAACTTCAAAGAGTGGCATGCCAGTTAATTCCATTAGCCACCGGACCATTATCAAACAGCTAGGACAATGGCTGGCTGAGGACCTCGTGGTTTTAGGCTCTCTGGGCATGTCATGTCTCAAAACTGAAAAAGACTCTTAACTTTGGAAATCTTTTCATCAGCCCTTGGCTTCATAAAGGGAGACCATAGCAACTAGTCATCAAGCTATGGTTATTTCTTTCTGATTTCACAGCATACCAAATATCACTCATGGGTCTGTGTTTGAGGTTTTGGAAATATATGATCATAATGTGCCAAGTAGCAAACTTGACTTAGAAATCTCTATATTTTTATTTAAGAGTAAGAATAAGCCCCGGCCAGTTTGGCTCAGCGGTTGGAGCATCAGCCTGCGGACCAGAGAGTCCCGGGTTCGGTTCCTACTAGGGGCACGTACCAAAAAAAGAAAGAGTAAGAATAAGAATTTTAATAATTAATTTAAGAGTATTAGATACAGAAAATTTCTGTAATTTGGATGAATTAGAACAATCCAAATCAATTACATCTGAATTATGACTTATGTTTCTATCCATAACTGAGAAGTAATAAAAAAATATCTATTTTGCTCTGGCCAGTTTTGCTCAGTGGTTAGAGCTTTGGCCCATGGACTGGAGAGTCCCGGGTTTGATTCCTGCTAAGGGCATGTACCTTGGCTGCAGTTTGTCCCTGGTCCCGGTTGGGGCTGTGCGGGTGGCAACCAGTTGATGTGTCTCTCACATGTTGATGTTTCTCTTTCTCTTCCTCCCTCTCTCCCTCCCGCTCTATCTGAAGATAAATACCCCCCAAATCCTCAGGTGAGAATTTAAAAAAATCTATTTTAACAAAAACTAGATAAAGAATAGTTAAGAATATGCTCTACCCAATTCTCTTAAATGTAATGGTGAAAATTTATTGTAACTAGTACATTGGTTACATACAAAGGGATATTAAATATTATTATATGCAAAGGCCAATCGAAGGCTATTCCTCTATCAGCTAAGGGGCTCCATCCTTGCTCACGTTTCTTGAGGAAAAGCTGTCTTATTCCTCTTTGCATCCTCAATGCCTAGGACAGTTCTGGCCTCTTACAGAATCTCAGTACATATGCCTTCTTATTGCTGAATTTATCCATCAAACCCATTTTTCAAGGATAGTGCAAAATGGTTGCATTCACTCCAAATTAACGGGACCTAAATTAACAAGGATTTATTGTTCTTCATGTTGTATTCTTTGACAGATTAATGTAAATTTAATTTAGATACTAGCTTGTAAATTTAATTTAGATACAGCATCCTTACACATAATGGAGGATTAAAAAATGCCATGGCTTCTTTCTTGAAAGGGCTCACTTTTCAGGCAGTCACACCTATGTGAGGCCAATGACAGAAGACGCTGTCTGCAAATTCCGATGCTCAGGGTGAGAAGGTGAGGGTGGGATTGTTTTCACTGCGGAGGTCAAACTTGACTGAGCTTTGAAGGATGCTCAGAATTTTTATAGAAGGAATGACAGGCTAAGAAAGCAATACCATTTCAAAATTCAGTAAAGTAAGTTTCAGAGGAAAAAGTCAAACCTAGTAATTGAATAAAATGAGACCTTCAGAAACTTCTTGCAGCCTATAGCTCAATATCCTCTTCTATGCAATATTTGATCATTTGTGAGAAAATTGAGGGGGGAGACTGTGGAGCAGAGCTGCTTGAGTCGTTGCTGAGCATTCTGAGGATTTCAGAGAGGCTCTGCTCTACCAGTTTGCATTCAGTAAACTAAAGGAGACCCAGCCACCAAATTAAGTTTTCACAAAGCTTATCTGCTTATGATTGTCAGTTGGAGATCTGATTTTCAGAAAGCGCCATGCATGTGACCAGCTTCATTGATTCATCTGGTCTAACTCAGTAAATATTTACTTAAAGACTACCTGGCATGAAGCACCAGTCTCGGGCGAGGACACAGCAGTGACCGAGTAGACGTGTTGCTTTGGAGGAGCTCATGGTCTAGTGGGGACTCACGCAGAATACATGATTGCCCCCTCGTTTGCAGCTTCCCTTTCCACACTTGCAGTTTTGCGTGGTCAACCAAGGTCTGAAAATACTAAATGGACATTCCAGAATCGAACAATTCATGCATTCTAAATTAAACACTGTTCTGAGTAGTGTGATGAAATCTTGTCCCCCTTCGTCTTGCCTGGGACGTGAATCATCCCACTGTTCAGGGCATCTACGCTGTAACGACTCGCTAGGTAGGCACTGAATAACCCTCCCAGTTATCAGGTTGACTGTTGTGGTATTGTAGTGCTTGTGTTCAAGTCTTCTTATTTTACTAAATAATGAGCCCCGGAATAGTGATGCTGACAATGTTCATATGTCAAAGAGAAGCTGTACACTGCTCCTTTAAGTAAAAAGGTGTGTATAATACAATAAGACATTTTGAGACAAACCACATCCACATAACTTGTATTACAGTGTGTTATTATAATTGTTCTATTGTATTACTAGTTATTCTTGTTACTATCTTACTGTTCCTAATTTATATATTACTTATCATAGGTATGAATGTATAGGAGAAAACATAGTACAGATGGTCCCCAACTTACAATGTTTCAACTTTATGATGCATACTTTGAATTTTGATCTTTTTCTGGGTTATTGATATGTGTACAATATTTTCCCATGATACTGGGCAATAAGCTGCTTCCAGACAGCCATGAGATCATGATGGTAAATAACTGATACTCTACTGCAGTGGTTCTCAACCTTCCTAATTCCGTGACCCTTTAATACAGTTCCTCATGTTGTGGTGACCCCCAACCATAAAATTATTTTTGTTGCTACTTCATAACTGTAATTTTGCTACTGTTATATCTTAGGCGACCCCTGTGAAAGGGTCGTTCGACCCCCAAAGGAGTCGTGACCCACAGGTTGAGAACCGCTGCTCTCCAGTGTTTGTTCTGTTATCTGTGTTTTGGGATATTGTGGTTATGAGCACAGTAAGGTTAAGCTATGATGTGTGGTAGGTTAGGTATATTAAATGAATTTTCAACTGACTACATTTTTAACTTACAATGATTTCAACTGGACACAACTTCATTGTAAGTCGAGGAGCATCTGTATATACAGGCTTTGGTACCATCCCTGGTTTCAGGCATCCACTGGGGTCTCGGATCATGTCCTCCTGGATAAGGGGGGACTCTTATACTCTAGCAAAAAAATGAATAGTATAATTTCAGATTGCAAAAATCATTTTGAGGAATTTAAAAATAATAGTATGATAGAGAATGATCGGGGAGTAAGGATAAGGCTCATTTATTTTATTTAGTTCTTAAATGTTCTTCCTTGATTTATAGAAAGAGAGAGGGAGAGAGAGAGATAGAAACATCAATGAGAGAGGACATTGATTGGCTGCCTCCTGCATGCCCCCCACTGGGGATCGGGCCCACAACCTGGGCATGTGCCCTGACTGGGAATCGAACCGCTGACCTCTCAGTGCATAGGTCAATGCTCAACCACTGAGCCACACCTGCCAGGCTAAAGGCTCCTTTAGACAGGGTTTTCTGCCAATGCAGACATTATCTTAGAGTCCACTTACTCTAGCTTATGCAGAGGGTGGCCGTGTCCTCACTGGACGATGTGTCCTGCTCGTCTTGCATCAGCGGAGGCCAAGCATATTTGTCCTTCCAAGGGCTTCATGGCACTGATACTTGTTTACTAAAGCCCTACTGCTGGCCTTCTGG